CCTCCCCCTCCTCCCCCAATGCCCTGTGTGCCCCCCGCAATGCTGCAAGGCGTCGCTCAGCGCAGGAGCGAGTCCAAGCACATGAGCGTCAAGCGGCTGCGCTGGGAGCAGGTGGAAAACTCCGAAGGCACCATCTGGGGGCAGGTAGGATCAGAACCCCAATGGAGGTGCATGGCCCCCACCTCGCCCCCCCGACCCCTGCTTCGCTGAAATCCTCTGAGCTTTCTGTTCCGCCTGATGAAAAGTCTGTGGAGTCTGCAAGTGTGCACACTCTGCCGCCCCAGGGCAATTAACTGTATTGTTCTGAATGCTGTGCTAAGCTTTACCTGTCCTTTCCGTGAGTATTTCCGTGGTTATGAAAAGGGAGATGCCCCACCCTTTTCTGCCTGTCCTCTTGTTGCTTTGGGGGGGGGGTGAGAGAGAGAGAGAGACTTATTTATGGAGATAAGAGAGACTTATTTATATACAGATAAGCAATATTTGCCCCCCCCCCGCAAACAGAACTCCTCCTCACCTGTTGCATGCCTGACCCTTTTGGGAGAGGGAGGTGGGCTTGCCAGGCAATTCCTCCCCCGGCTTACCTCGGTGCCCTTCCTTTGCTCGGGGCAGCCGGCATATGGGCTGGTTGGGCGTCAGCCGCGGGCCCAGCGCCACGGGGCCCTTTGAACAGCCAAGGCGAGTCTGGCCTTCGGCGTCACTGCCTCCGTCTTCCTTTCTCGCGCAGCTCGGGGAGGATTCGGACTATGACAAACTGAGTGACATGGTCAAGTACCTGGACCTAGAGCTGCACTTTGGCACCCAGAAGCCAGCGAGTGAGTCCTTGGTCTCTGCGCGGCTGCAACAGCAGGAGCTTCTGGGAAGGGGGCGGGGTGGGGCAGGAGAAGCAGCTCGCCGTGGCATTGGGGGTGCCACAGCCCCCCTTCCTACCTGGCCAAGGGGGGGGTGGCGCATTGTGGATTTGCTTTGCGGCTGGGGCTTCCTCTGCCTCTTGCGCTGCCCCCCCGCTACCCCACAAGCCCCTTGCGTACTGACTCGGTTGGCATCGCGTTGCCTTCGCTGCTGCTCCCTGGGTGCTGTTGGCTTTGTGTGTGCCGTTTTCCTGGGCTCGCGGTCACATCCGGTCACCCCGCGGCTCCTCAAATTAGGCCAGTGTTGTCTGGGTCACAGCTGGCCAAGGAGTGGGCGGGCAGGAGCAGCGCCACACATTTACTCCAATGTGCTCCCAGGGGAAGGGGGGGGAGAGAACCATCGGCACATTTGCAATGCATGTGGACTCTGCTCTTCTGTGGGGCCACCCGGGGATCTCCAGTTATGAACCCAGCCCCCATAATGCCCAGCACTTCCTCTGGCCGCACTGGGTGTCATGGGAGCGATAACGCAGAGTCTGGCAGGAGAGGCTGGGAGGGGACGCCTCTGTCGTTCAGAGAGTGGGGTCCATCGTGGCAGTGATCCTTACAATGGCCCTGCAGGTCAAGGCGCTAGGCGAAGATGCAGGAGGCCTGGGTTCAGACCCCCCTTCAGCCATGGAAACTGGGGGTGACTTTGGCAACTCACGCTCTCTCCACCCAACCTACCTGATAGAGTGGTGGTTGTGGAGAAAAACTGGAGGAGAAAGTATAATGTCTTGAGCTACAGAAAATCACTAACCTTTTTTTGGGGGGGGGGGCAGGGTGCCTTCTAGTCAGTTTTTGACTCCTGGCAACTGCCTGGACTAGTCCCTGCAGTTTTCTTGGCAAGTTTTTTTCAGAAAGTGGCTTGCCATTGCCTCCTTCCTAGGGCTGAGAGGGAGTGACTGGCCCAAGGCCACCCAATTGGCTTCATGCCTCAGGCGAGACTAGAACTCATGACTTCCAGGTTTCTAGCCTGATGCCTTCACCACGACACCAAACTGGCTCTCTAACTAATAAATGAATAAATAGGCTTGGTTGTAATCATTATTCCCATATGAAGAGGGAGCCTGAAGCTGAAAGGGGCTTCCTCATGGCCATTGGGGAGTTCTTGGCTCACAAATTTAGGAATACCCCCCAGCCAGCAGTGGTTGGGCTCCCCCCAGGTGGCTCTTGAAAGCCCCTGAAGACCACAATCCTCCTCACTGTTGCCCTCCAGAACTGGTTTCTAGAGGTAGACTACCCCTGAGCTTGCAGGCGGACTATCGTCCTCGTGCCTTGCGCTGTTCAGAGCACCCAGAAAGCCTTCTTGGCAGGGGAGACGCAAATGCCCCTTCCCCAGCCTTAGACGGGGGGCTAATCATGCCACTGTGACCTTGGGAAGAAGGCAAAGGTGACAGCGGCTGGGTGGGCCAGTTGGAGAAGCCAGGCGGAGAAGCTTAAGCCACGAGAAGTGAAGGTGAGGAGTCTTCCCCCAAGAAACAATGGGGAACGAGGGAGAAGGGGGGGCTGGGGCTGAGGCGTTCTGAGGTCTTGCCTTTCGCAGCTTGGACTTTCCATGCGATCCTGGGACGTGTGTGGGTGCCCACGGGGAGCTTCCGGGATGCCCAGCATGCGTCATTCCAGTCCTACAGCTTCATTTCTCTCCTTCCCAAAGCTCCTGAACCTGCTCCTTATCTCAGATTAAATCTTCAGTTTCTCTTCCAGAGCCAAGCCCCTTGCCGGAGCCCCTTAAAAAAAGGCACGTGGTTGAGATTCTGTCACACAAGAAGGCCTACAACACAGGTGAGTAACAGCCGGCGTGCCAGGAAGGCGCAGAGCAGATCTCGGGGCACCGGACAGGTAAAGGGGATACAGAGCCTTTGCCCAAGCCAGGGGTGTCCACAGGCATGGTCAAAAAGGTCAAGGGGGTGCATCGCACATAAAAAGCGGGGAGCATTGCCCCATCACAGCCACCATCTTGATCTCTCTGACCTCACTCTGCAGTTGCCCAGCCAACAACACCATCCCGAACTCCTGGAGCAAAGGTAGGATACCAGTCACAGGGCTGGAAAGGACTTCGGAGGCCTTCTAGTCCAACCCCCTGCCCAGAGCAGGAATCCTCAGGCCCCTCTGGACAAATGGCCCCCCGGTCTTTTCTTGAAAACCTCCGGTGATGAAGTCCAAACGTAAAGAATAAACAGGTCTGTGGTAGAAAGTGCCACTGCCCTCGCTTGAGAGTCACTGGGGGCGGGGGAGACAATCGCGACATCGTGCTGCCCTTGTGGACCTGGCTGGTCCTCGTCTGAACCAAAGCCGCTTTGGCACAAGGCCTGCCCAGCATCCTCACTGGTGCCTTCTCCTCCTCCGGCCAGCCATCCTGATTGCTCACCTCAAGCTCTCCCACATTGAGCTGCGCCAAATCCTCCTGAGCATGGAGAGCGACCGCTTGGAAGCCTCCCACATCAAGCAGCTGCTGCTTTATGCGCCAGATGCTGAGGAGGAGCAGCGCTTCCATGGCTACCAGGGTGACCCCGGCAAGCTGAGCGAGCCGGACCAGTTTGTCCTGCAGGTGAGTCTGAACAAGGGTGCCGGGAGGAGGTCTGCGGCTATGGGGAACCGGGGTGTGTGTCCAGCTGGGGACCAGGGGAGTCGTGAAAGCTTTTAGCAGCTCCCTGCAAAGGCCGAGGACAGGCGCGGTGTCCGTGGAAAGCCTCTCGGGGGGGTTGGTGTTGGAATAATCTGACCAGCAGATTCAGAGCCCTTCTGAGGATTGGCCGAGGTGCTTTCTTGACGTGGGCTCTGGAGAAAGTGGTGGAAGTGGGCTGGACAAGATGTGCATGTGTTTAATAAGCCTGGGCCCTTTTGCTGGCCCATAAAGAGATGTTCGCCGTGTGTGTCCCCATCTTGCTCCCCCTTTCCCGCTGCCTTTTCCCAACTTCTGCTCTGAGGCAAGAAGCCTGCCGGGCTGAGAGCCCACTTCTGGCAGCAGAGCGATGGGTGGGCTGTCAGGCAAGGCAGCGTGTTCCGTTTTTGTCCCCGGGCCCTTGGGGCACCTCTACACAAGGAGCCTGTGCCGGCTGGAGGGCTCTGCGGTCTGTTTTCCGTGACGTCTGAGTGGGTTTATTTCTGGCTGGGCTATGGGTTGGTTGAAACCATGGTGGAGCAAGCTTGTTTTCTTCAAAATGTCATGGCTCCCTTTCCCTGCTGGAGAGAATCCTGCCCCAGGCTATGGAACTTCAGGTCCTGTAAGGGAAACTTTGCAAGTGCTGGAAGTGACCCTGGAGGTCATCTAGTCCACCCCTGCCGAGTCCAGATTTAAAGAACGTTCAGCTCTTCTCCGCTATCCAGCCTAAACAAGCAAGGCTAAATTGACAAGAATGGTGTCTGTTTTCTCTTTTGCTCTGAAAGGGAAGGCGAAGCGAAGGGTCTGGAATGCTTGACTGTTTCCCCCTTTTCTTTCTTCCTTTCCCTTTGGTGCGGTGGGGGGGGCAGAGAGGATTTCGGTTGCTACAGAACCTGCAGCAGCTCTTGGGGGGGGACAGCGATTTTCACTGCCTGTTTTCAGGGTTTCCAGCCAGGAGAG